GTGCATTGCCATATAAATATATGTACCTAGGCCAATACCTCTATTTTTATTAATGTATTTACATATGTACAAGCTTTCTAGCTTGTTCCTGTTTCCTTTTACTTTCCTGCTGCCCCATCATCAAGCTCCCCCTACTTCCACCTCTTAGTAATCCCTCTCAGCTAGATTGCTGTTGCTCCACCCCTCAGGCTCTCTATGTCCTCCTGATTGTTCATTTTAATTCCCTAGTTGTTCCCCTGTCTATGGCACTTTTTCACCACTCCGTCCCCCCACCTCCTTCTCCCCCAAGTCTGTCTGGGACCATCAGTCCTGCTGCTTTCTCCTCGAGCTTGCTTCCCATGCCTACCTTACAGAAGTTGGAAAATCAACAATAACAGAGACCAAACAAAAACAAAAGACTTTTTTAAAAAGAAGAAAAAAAATACATAGTTCCAGATCTGTCTGCTGATCTTCATAACTATCCAGGAGCTACCCCTCCTAGCCTAAAGTCTATTTTGGGGGCTCTTTAGGGGTTTTGCTCTTGTTGATCTATTATGTTCCCTTCTTGGTTCACCAGCTGCAGGGAGTTCAGACTGCAATAACTCCCCGCCATGTGTCCCCAGTATTGTCCTGTCTCAGTATGCCACGAGCTGTTCTGAAGGCGGGAGGTTGGTGGGGAAGGGAGAATATTGTAGTCTGCTTCTGGAAAGACTGCAGCCTTGGAAAGCTTATGGGGCAGCTGACTCTGTCCTATGGGGTGACTATGAATTGGAATCAACTCCGTAGCATGAGTTGGGTCTGTTTTCAGGTGTGTTGAGAAAAGAGGTTTGGTCTTGTTCATCTTTGTATTTCCCATGATGTTCTTATTGTTAGTTGCCTTCAAGTAAGGGCAACTCCACTTCTACCAGAACTAAATGTTGCTGGGTCCAGAACCATCTTCACAATCACCGGTACATTGCATCCATTATCACGGCCATTGTGTACCTTGAATGCCTTCCAATCTGGGCTCATCTCCCAGCTATATATCAGAGAATATTTTGTTGTGATAGGTTTTCACTAGCTTTCTTCCAGTCTATGTTAGTAATGACACTGATGTTTTAAGTACAATGCATAGCTTCCAGCGTCATAGCAGCACACAAGTCACCTCTGTATGACAAACTGACAGACAGCCATAACATCATGTATTGGATAAAATAGGAACTCCATAAATAGCTGAAGTGTCTAATTGATTTGTATAGTCTTAGACGATTGAGCTAAGTTTTAAAATACCAATATCTTTTGATGTAAGAATTAAGAGTTAGAAACAGATCTTCCAAATGGCCTCTCTCCATATTTACCTTCATAATATGATGACTAAAGACTGGTCACTATAGTAAATTACAGCGAATGAATCAGATGGTGCCTGTCTAACAAATATGGATACTATATGAGGTCATAAAGGCTTGTCCTAAAACAAGTAGTCATATAAAGAAGCCATCAACCCGTCTGTGCAGAAGAAACCCTATTAACCTAAGTGTAAACAACAAAGTTTGAATAAAGTCCATGATCAAAGAAGGGAATGTATGAGGGGCTTCAAAAAGTTCGTGGAAAATGGACTTGAAATATAATAGGATTTTCCTCAAGAGTTTTTGAAGCCCCCTTGACCTATAATTGAAATTGTAAAGTACTTGGTTTTGGTGGAGGGCTGCAATTTTACAGTAGGAGCCCTAACTCCATTAGGTCTTGGCATAAATTCAGACTCTACTTGAGTTCTTTTTCACTTTAAACAGCAGTGTGGCCATTGTCCTCTCAGTCAAAGGGTTTGGAAGTAAATTACAACTTCCAGGCCAGCCTAGGGAGGGGCAATCTTACCTTCAGGTTTACAAATAGATTCAGGGAAACTGCCTGGCCATGTCCTTAATGATTTGCCAAAAAGAATCACATGTTATCTAGTTTAAGGATAAGACGGTGTCCCAGTGACTATGATTTGGGGCCAAGCAGGTGGCCATTGCTCCAGAACTAATCCTGTAAACTTTTAAAAGTTGCAATTGTGTGCATACCCTACTCATAGTCCTTCTCCAGTGTTTGTAGTCCCCCTACAGCAGAGATACGTTGATCTAACTCTCAAGTAACTTCCTTTGTTGTCCTTCATCTATAATTAGCTCCAAAGCCATGAGTCCACTGGACTCGGCATTGACTTCGTGCTCATGGTGTCCCTATCAGGATGATTTCCTTGTCTTTGTCCTATTTAAGGCTTAATAAAGGGGTTTCTATAGAAAAAAAGGGAGTTTCTATAGAAGCTATATAGTACATTCTCATGCCATTCAGCACAAGCCTTGAAATATAGTCGGTATTCTCTAAATTTTGTTAATTAGTGTGCCAGACTGAATATTTCTGTGGTGAATATATACTTTAGGTGCTATAATCTCCCAAAATCAGTGTTTTCAAAGAATTAACCCTAATAATACATATGGACTTTAGTTAATGAAAGTATATCAATATTGGTTCATTAATTATAACAAATGTACCACACAAATTCAAGATGTTCATAATAGAAGAAACTGGGGGGTGGGGCGTGCGGGGGTATAATCAGAGTAGAATTGGAAACTCTCTTTCTGTAAACCTAAAAACTGGAGTCTTACCCTTAACCAATGCAGTCTTTTCATTGCCATTAAATCATCCTCCTCCCCCTCCCCCTGCCCCCGGTAAATACTAATAAACCTTAGTCTCTGTACATTTGCCTTTTCATGTCTTGTTATATGTGAGGTTGTGCAGTACTTATTCTTTTGTGATGAACTTATTTCAGTCCGCATATCTTCATGCTCCACCCATACTGTAGCATACATCAAGACTTCGTTTCTACTATTAGCTTAGCATTATTCAGGGATATGTATGCACCCTATTTTGTTTGCTCATTCATCTGTTAACAGGCGTTTGGTTTGTTTGCACCTTTTGGCTGCTGTAAATAGCACTGCAATGAACATTGGGTGCTTGTCCTTTATCGTGTCTCTGCTTTCAAGTCTTGGGGTATATACTTAGAAGTGGAGTTGTGTCATATGATAGTTCTATTATTAGCTTTTTGTGGAACCACTAGACTGTTCTCCACAATAACAGTAGTACCCTTTTGCATTCCTCCTGGATATTTTCTGGGGTTTTTTAATCATCCTAGTGAGAGTGAAATGAGTTCACTCAAATGGTTTGGATTTGTATCTCTCTGATAGCTAATAAGGTTGAGCTATTTAGAAACTTTTCATGTGTTTGGAGGCCATTTGAGTATTCTCTTTGATGAACTATCTGCTCAAATCATTTTCCTATTTTATGATTGTTTTAGTTATCTTTTTGCTTAGATTGTCAAAATTTTATAAATATATTGATTAATAGATTCAAATTAGATATATTATTTTTAAAGGTATTATCTCCGGTGGTAGTTTGTCTTCTCAATTTTAGTAAAGATTTTTAATGAACAAGTTCTCCATTTTTATGATACCCCATTTATTTGTTTTGTCTTTTGCTGTTTGTGCTTTCATTCTATTAGATAATCCATTGTTAAAAGCTAGGTCTGACAGATTTGACCCTGAATTTTCACGTAAGAATTTTTATGATTCCAGCTTGCAGTTGACTCCATAGCAATGAATGTTTTGAACTTGCATATGTAGGTCTTTAGTCCATTTTCTCTTTGTGTTTGCACATGATTGGAGGGAAGAATCTTTTAAAATTTCTCTGGAGGTGGGAAATTCCGTTTCCCAGCATTTTAATCTCCCACAGTTTTAACCCTTGACTTAACCTCCAAACCACCATTTTCTTCACCTGAAAACGAAAATAGGGATGTTTATCTAATGGGTTGCTTGCAAATGAATGATTAAATGATACTGCTTATAAAAAATTGTGCCTGGAACAAAGTGAGCTCATGATAAGTGGTAATTATTATTGTTATTATTATTATTATTACTATTATTATTATTATAAAGGCTTATCTAGTTGGAATTATTTACAACATGGTTTTTAATATATGTCTTGACCAAAAAAAAAAATTGTCTCCTGAAAAGCAAAGCGTTCAATGGATGAACTTCTTGCTTACAAATTTGCGTAAAAGTCAAATCCCACTTATTCTAAAATTGATTGTGGTGATAACTGGACAGCTCTTTTTAATATATTTAAACCATTGAAATATATGGTATGTGAATTATAAGTCAATAAACCTGTACGACCTATGTCTGTGTAAAGAACACGATTTTTCATTGGGAATACATGTTTGACATCTCACGTCTCTTTTAGGGATTTCCTTTCCAAGGCGATCATGGGAGGCTGGCGCCTCTCCAACCTTGTTGCATAATCCTCACCGCCGTCCAGCGCAAGTGCCTGCTTCGCTGACCTGTCCCGGGGCACAGCGGCTGCAGGATGGCGTGCTCAGCAGGGTCAAGTGCAGCTGCCGGCGCGGCCCAGGGCGCTGGCCTCAGGAGGGCGCCCAGTGGCCCGCGCCGTCCCCGCCCGCTCGGCAGGGATGATGAGTGATGGCCACAACAGGTGCATGGGGCTCCGCGTGCGGCCGGCCAGGCTCTGGGGACCCGAGGTGGACTCTGGAAAACGTACCTTCTGGCTGGGCACGAGCCTTCGAAAGTCGCCCCTTCGCCGGCCTCCTCGCTCCTTCGTGAAGCCCCGGGGTCACTTCAACCTCTCGAAGGGCACCGCAGCTCGCTCGCTCGCTCGCTGGCTCCCCGCCACCCTCTCAAAGGAAGCAAGCGCGGCCCGCGGGGAGCCCGCACCTGGCACCCTGCAGCCCGCCCCGTCGCCTCCGTGCCCTGCAGGCGGCACCCTCCCGCGTCCGCCCCGCCGCCCGAGGCGACCCGCGGCCTCCCCGCCCCCCACCCCGGGTGGCCGGTTCAGGCCCCAGGTCCGAGCCTGCGGCCCTGCAGCTGCCACGGCCGCGGCCACGGCCACGGTTGGCGCCACGGGCAGAGTCTTTGGCCGCGAAACGTGGCGACTCCCTTGGTGTGAAGGTGCTTTCGAGCCAGGTTTCTCTTCCTTCCCCGTTTCGAAGCGAGGCGGAGGAAGATGGAGACCGAGCCCGGTGCGGTGAGTACGGAGCTCGCGCCCCGGAGTCCCGAGGCGGGAGGTGGCAGGTGCAGGGCCAGGGCGAAGGAGCCAGCTAGGCCCCGTCCTTGAGGGCGAGAAGGGAGAGAATTAGAATCCAAGTGTCCTCCCTCTTGTGTGCGGAAGAGACGTGGCCAGGGTGCCCCAGCGACGGTCGCGAAGAGCCGGTTGTTGGGGGGTGGGGGCTGAGGGTGGGGGTGGCCCTCGAATGCGCGTCGGCAGGCTGGGGGACCTCAGAAATGGCCGCAAGGTTTCGAGAGGCGGTGGTGCCTGGGCCATGTGCTCCGATCCCCGATAAACCGCTTTCCCGCCGAAACGGCACTGGGCAGTGGCCATGGCACCCTTCCCTCCGGCTCCAGCAGGGCGCCGCCCGGCAGCCCAGCGCAGGGGGCCGGCCGCATGGGCGGCCCGAGTCTCCGTTCGCCGCCTGGCCACTGGGGACCGCGAGGCCGGAGAGCCCTCGGGGGACCGGGGAGGCAGGGGCCCGGTGGCTCCAATCGGCCTTGGAGAGCCTGGCTCAGGTGCGCCCCGTCGGGGCTGGGCAGGGGCCAG